TTGGTTAAAAAGCAAGTTGTAGCTCTTGTCCACATACAAGAGAAAAGATTATGTGTGAACAGTAGAAAATATGGGTCATTGGGGGCCATCTCAGAGTCTTTCTCCCACACATAAAGGTTAATAATTTACCAGGGATTATGAGTCAGCATTTGAGCATAGGAAATCTACCTCCAGAGGAAAATGAGACTCAAATGGTTTGGAAACCAGGCTAGGCACAGAAATAAATATGAACTTCTATTTTATCACCTTTTGGATGAGTCTCTAAAACAAGGGTGGTAAAGATGTAGGCTTTTTTTTTTTGTGGTGGTTGATTTTTCCCCCATGCAGGGTTTTAAAAAAATTTGAAAACCCATTATGCGGTTTCACATAGCTATCTGAATTTCCAGGAGCTTAAAAAAAAATCAGAAAATATGTTGCCACCATTTCTTCCATTCACATGAAGCAGCAGCTATTAGACTAGAGCTAAGTAACAACTTAGTAACAATGTGAGTGTCTAATCCCAACAACCTCTTTTATACCCTCTTCTTGTTACTGGCATGGCATTTATGTGAAGGCATTTGACTTTGCTACAAATGCAACTGAATAGAGTACAGTAGACCTGAGAACTAAACAGTGAGCCCATTTATGGGATAAATTAAAAGTGATTTCTCTCAGATATTTAATCTATACAAAATCTTTGAATAATGAGAAATGTATACATAGAACTTAAACATGTAAAAATGCACTCTAAAAAAGTGCTGTTACCTTAGCAAAGTCACATACGTATTTGTAGACAGCTGATCTAAGAAGACATCTTTATTATCCCCAACCAAGAGAAGGCTACCTGATCATCTGCTTAAGCACAGACTAGTTCCTATAATTGCTAGCTCCCAGTAATTGCAAATACAACACCTTTGAGGTACAACCTTTTGGAGAATGGGGTTTTTCATTTGTTTATTTGTTTAATGAGCATATATTCCCTATGCTAGGCACTATACTAAGAAATCTAATTGTAATAACTCAAATTGTGAAACATTGAAATGCACATGATAGATAATTTCAACAATGTCTTATAGCAAGTCTGTGGTATACAGTAACAAAACCTTGGTCTTCTGCTTTTCCAATATTCCAGGCTGCCTTGGTTCAAATTCTCCTGATAATTTATGTAAAATTGCTAGGTTGATTTTGGGTTATGAATATTACCCTTGGCAGGCTGCTTCCAAATTACCATATAATTGTATGTTAATTATCATATTCCTCATACTGCAAATGAACTTATATAGGAAATATAATTATAGCTACTAGATTCTAGACTCTGGGAATCAGGTGATTCAAACTGGCTCTTTCTCTCTCATAATTCTGTAGGAGCATATCATAAAAGAGGAATGGTATTTCCCACCACAGTCCCAGCTGGTAATTCTGATTGTCCCATGATTTCACAGCTGCAAATCAGCCCCCAATCACACTTGTCTCTGGCAATGATCCTTTCCTTAATTAGAACATGACTTAGACTTTAGTCCTAACTTATCTGTTGCCTTGGCCCTAGGCTACTTGAGTACAGGCTGGCTTAGTTGGAAAAGAAAATCTACTTGAACATAGGTCTGTTTGTCCTAATATTGAACAAAGTGAAGAGCCATTTGTCTGGTTGATGAATTTACTTTATTTAGCAAATGAATTTACTTTCTTAGACAACTTCTCTTACAGTCTAGTCTCATGTCTAGGCTTTATATTTGTGGTGTTATTTTTACAGTTCTTATACCTTCCCCAACTTGGGTATGGTCTCTAGAAAAAGCCACTAGCCCCTGTCCAAGCCTGTATGTGACAGCATATGGGGTGTGATGTGAGGAGCAGGCAAGGCCTTCCTCTAAGGCGGCAGGCAGGTCAAACTTAATATTGCCCTTTCCTCCTTTTTTAAAAAACTTTAAATTTTCAGGGTCCCTGTCACTTCTCTGAGTGGTTAAGTCACACAGATGAGAGCTTTCCTCTACAAGTCTATGTCAAAATACATGTATATTAGAGAGAAAGGCATACTTAAAGAAATGTGGTTTCTGGCCTTCTTTCTGCTCACCTTACGTTTTAGATGCATTCCCTTGGAAAGGCACCAATAGAAGCTAAACAGAAGGTACACAGAAAATGAGGATAGGGTGAAATGACAGAAAAAGTAAACATTTTATTTTTCAAATGACAAATATTCATTAAGCATCTACAATGTATATGGATTTAATATACTAGATAGCTGGGGAAGATATAAAAGTGATGCAAAATCTGCTTCCATGAATTCTGAGAGATAATCTGTGAGCCAGTATCTACATGTGAATCTAAATGTTTCACATATAGATTTGTGAAACAGGTAAGAGTGCTATTTGGTACATGAAGAAGTGCTGAAAATAGACAGTATTTGCTACAGAATCCTCTCACAGAGGGCACGATATTAGAGTGGTATAGATAGTTAAGGAGGAACCTCAGGTTTATTATTATTTTGTATAATCATAGTTGGCTTGGAATTGGACTGTATATAGTGTTTAGTGGAGAAAAGAAGGAAACAAATTAGGCTACAATAAAATATTTACTTTGAGCAACTGAAGACAGGAGTTGAGACTATATCTCATGGGATCTAGAGAGCCATCTGCTATGGTCTCAATGGTTTTGTCCCATTCCCCAAATTTCATGTTGAAACTTAATCCCTAATGCAACAGTGTTGTAAAGTCTAGCCTTTTGGAGGTGACTGAGTTTTAAGGGCTCTGCCCTCATGAATGGGATTAGGAGCCCTTATAAAAGGGCTTGGTAAAAGGAATTTGACCCTTTTTGCCCCTTCACCTTCTTCTATGAGGACAGAGCTTTTCTCCTCTCCAGAGGAGGTGTTCAAGATGCCATCTTAGAAGCACAGATGGGATGTTTACCATACAACCAAATCTGCCATGCCTTGCTCTTGAATTTTCCAGCCTCCAGAATTGTGAGAAAATAAATATTTATTCTTTATAATTTCTTATAATTCATAATTACCCAGTCTGTAATATTTTGTTACAGCAGCATAAACAGACTGTGACAGTTAATACTGAGTGTCAACTTGATTGGATTAATGGATGCAAAGTATTGATCATGGGTTTGTCTGTGAGGGTGTTGCCAAAGGAAATTAACATTTGAGCCAGTGGGCTGGGAAAAGCAGATCCACCCTTAATCTGGGTGGGCACTATCTAATCAGCTGCCAGTGCAGGTAGGATATAAAGCAGGCAGAAAAACGTGAAAAGACTAGACTGGGCCTAGTCTTCTATCCTACATCTTTTTCCTGTGCTGTATATTTCCTGCCCTCGAACATCACACCCCAAGTTCTTTAGTTTTGGAACTCAGACTGGCTCTCTGCTTCTCACCTTGCAGATGGCCTATTGTGGGATCTGTGATCGTGTGAGTTAATACTTAATCATCTTCTCTTTATATATATCCTATTAGTTCTGTCCCTCTAGAGAACCCTAATATACATACTAAGACACCATCCCAGCTAGATGTCTGAATAGAAAAATAACAAGATAAAATGGATGTCTTAGGAAGAACTGTGTTGATGGTGTATTTGAGATAGGAGACACTGCAGGAGAAAGGACTGGTTAGGCAACAGCAGAAATGCAAATTTGTTTAAGACAGTAATGTTAAAAGAAAAACTTCAGCCAAATTAAATTTAAAGGAGTTTGAGCAATGAACAATTCATGAATTGGGCAGCCTCCCTAGCCAGAGTAGGTCTGAGACTCCAGTGCAGCCACATGGTGGAAGATGATTTATGGACAGAAGAAGGAAAGTGATGCACAGAAAACTGAGGTACTGAGGTACAGAACCAGCTGGACTGGTTACAGTTTGGGATTTGCCTTATTTGAACAAGGTTTGAACAAATGACTACATTTGATTGGCCAAAACTCAGTAATTGACACAAGTGTAGACTATGGTCTGTTTACACATCCACTTGTTATAGCTGACGATATATAAACCTTTAGGCTGAACTTAAAATATATAAGGAGGCTGCTTTAGGCTAAACTTCATTTAACAGTAACTAGGGATGAAGGTGAAAGAAAGAATTTTAAACAACTGTCTGGACTTGGGAAATTATTGAGATGAAGAGGCAAAGAAGACAATGAGGTTTCCAGCCTGAATGACTCAGCTTCCAGTGGGTGAGGGTGACCTAGTGTCAGCTAGGTGACTTAGTAAAAGGGAAAGTCCCAGATCTCAGTAAGTATAAGTAGAGATTCACAGAATTGTAAAGCTGGAAAGGGCTCTAGAGATAATCTATTTTAGATCCTTTATTTTATAAGAGGACAACTAAATCAAAAGAAAGGTCTGTGACTCAGCCCAGGGCAGTGAGCATGGAGTAGGGCCATAGTGTAGCAGCAACCACATCCTCTCCCACTGGGCAATCCTGCTTGCCTCCTCATCCTGACTATGTAGCTCTCTGGACAGCGGCTCTCAAGTTCTGAACCGAGGACAATGGCCTGTCTGCAGCCAAACCGGGCAAAATAAGGGAAACAGATATTTCAAAAAGCTAATCATTTAAGAAATCAACCTTTACTCTGTAATTAATCTAAATTCCTCAGCTTTTGTTTTGTTTTAATCTATGGATAATCTTTAAAACCCGCAAGTCCAAGAGTCATTTCTCTGTAGGATGGCAAGTTCTGTGTGAGCTCTCTTTCCCAAAGCACAACAGCAGGGGGTAAAGATGCAGCCACAAAAAGGATGACAACACAGTGTCTTCCTGGCTCTGCTCCCATCCCCACTGCCAGGATTACAGCCATCTTCCCTTTGTTGTAATTCTCTCGCGATAGGGGTGGGCAGGAGTCCCCGACAGAGGGATGGGGGCGGGTGAGCGGCTCCCACCACCCAGAGCTCTGAATCACTGTCCCTCGGCCGGAGACCAAGGCTTGGTGTCGGCAGCCGGGGCGTGGACATCCAATCCTGATACAGCCCTGTGGGATTTCTTTAACCCTTAGTCATACGTACGGCACACCGCAAAAGCGGCTTTAAGCCCCTCCCCAGCTAATTACCTTCGCGTAATGACGCCTCAGCCCCTCACAGAAGCAGACCCTGGTGGGCTGCCCCGTCCCAGCTCCAGATAGGCTCCGCTACCCGCCGGGATCCAGAGCTGAGCTCCTTCCCGGGGGAGCTAAAACCCGACAGGGGATAACGGGCCACAGCACCGTCTTGGCATTAAGTCACGGGCCTGGGGCACGCTGAGTTAGCCGGCGGGAAGGCCTGTGGTGGCAATCACCGAGGGTCCAGCGAGGGCTGACCCATTTCCTCCACAAACGAGCTAACGCGAAAGCAGTGCCCTGGAGTCAAGAAACTGGGGCTGCTTCTCCGAGTAGCGGCGAGAACAAGTCATATTACTTGGGCCCGTTACCTCAACTGTAAAATGAGGGGTCTAGGATTCCCTGTAGGAATGCAGGATTCTAAAATCGAACAGTGTTGGTAGCACCGCCCGGGCGGAGCCTCAACGGGCGCCACGGGAATCCAACGGCAGGACTCGCCACTGCAGGGGCTCCCTCCAGACCCTACTCTCCGCCACCTCTCTACGGGGTCAGAGGGCAGCGTGCGCGTCCCCTCCGGGCCTGCGTGCGCGTCTCCGCCCAGCTGCCGGCTGAAGCCAGGCCGGGTGGGCGGGGCGCAGCGGGGCGGGGCGCGCGTGGAGGGTGGCTGCCTCTGGAGTAGGCCGGCAGGAGAGGAGAAAAGGCGGCGGCTCGACTCGGGGATAGGGGCGGAGGAGGTAGTCCGGACGGCTGTGTGGGGCACGGAGCGTCGTCCGGACAGAGCGGAGCCAGCTGGGCACGGCGGCCAGGGCAGCTAGGGCCTGGGCCGCGGTTCGGCCGCGCCGGCCGGTAAGTGTCGGAAGGCCCGCAGGGGAGGCCGGCGGCGTCCGCGCTGCGGCGGGAATGGAGGCGGTGGCCGGCCAGTGTGAGGCCCGCCACCGGGACCGAGGCGCCGGCGCTGGCGGCCGTGGGGTCGGCGGGCCCGGCCTGGAGCGGAGGAAAGGCGGCAGACCCCTGTCAGTTTGCGTCCCGGGTCGGCAGTCCGGGTGTGCTGACTGGGCGTCCGCCGCGCTGCTGTCCGCGCGGCCGCCTGCCGGGCTAGCCGTGAGGTCAGCAAATGGCGACCCAAGCCCTAGGGCACCGACCTCCGTGTCCCCCCAGTTTGTATGTCTGTGTAAAGGGCCGAAGGAGTTAAACTTAGGGAACCTTAAGCTTCTCGTTCCGTCTGGCTTTTAAAAACTTGGGTTCTTTGGGGACAAACGGGTTAAAGAGACTGGGGAAGCATCGTCCACAGTCTGCACGGGATGAGCAAAGTTGGTAACTTTTCCATTCATGGAAGTGAGAGGATCTTAGCCTATTAAAGGGAAACTTCCTTATTTTGCAGACCTGAGGTTGTGTGTGTCCTGCGCCTTGGAAGTACTTTGCCTGGAACGGGTTTGTAGAGCGCGTGCTGAATTCAGAGTAATCTGCCAGTATGTTTTTAACGGGTGTATTTGGAAGTATAGAGTCAAACAGGCAGAACAATGTGTGTTTACCGTGGTTCGGACGTACTCCACTTCCCTCTAACTTTCTCTTGTTTTTCTTTTTGAGCCCTGTCGTAAGTCCCAGATAAAAGTTGCTTGGGAACGAATTGACCTTTTATTTCATGATTACTTCGTTGACTCTGATCCAAGATGGAGTTATTTGTGGGCATTCTGATATAGGTGTAGGTTAATTTAAAACTCTTTTAATACAAAATCCCAAACTGTAAATTTTAATTTCTGTTTGCTAAGTTTCAATAGTGTTTGTTCTTTAGAGACCTATGTAAATTATATTAACAGGTCTTGCATTTGCTCATAACAAGTTTTTCTAAAGCAGTCAAATTGTTGAAATGGCAAAAGGAAAAGAGTAGCATGAAATAAACCTTTAGGATTTTTCAGAGGGTTAGATTTCAGTATGCGGTTTCCGCTGAATCACTCTTCTTCATGCTTAGTCACTGTTTCTCATTACAGTAGTGTAATTGGGGATAACATTGTGTTTTGCTAACTTTTTTATTTCCTAGTTTGTTTTTACCTAGTACTTTAATGCCGTGACATAACTTTTTTGTTTTTCAATTCTGGAAATGGTGGAGTTTCATGAATGCTGTAAGAGAACTGAAGTTTCCAGTATAGGCAAACTTTAATGTATTCCAAGTGTACTAGGTATTTAATTTCAATCCAGTATTTCTCCCGGTCTAACATTGGGAGACTTCTTCTAAAAAGTGTCTTTAATATACCATTAAAAAGCAATATTATATAAGTAATGATAACGTGTATACAGAGGTACTTTAAGGTCACCAAAATAGGCATTGGTTAATGTTTAGTGTTTGATATAACATGTTTCTAAGATGAGAATATTTTAATGGATAAGCCCTTTGCTATTCTGTATGATTTTGGATAAATTTTTTAATTGAGTTGCTAAGACTGCTTATTTGATAAAAGGAATTAGTACATACTATGGAATGTCATTGTATTTATAAAATTTGTTGACATTAAACAATTCAAATGCTATGTAAAATATAAATTCAAATTCAGTGTGATGAAATACATGAGATTGGCCTTAGACAAGTTGCTTCTGTATTTTAAGTAGCTAGATGTTAGATACAGACAGGTGTACCTCAGTTAAAACCCAGTCTGTGAAAATCTTTCATGAAAAAAAAACAAACTTTTTTTAAAGCATGGGTAATGTTATTACTAGGTAGTTCCTCATATGATTGCATTTAATAAATTACCTCTTCAAAATAATTACTCCACATTTTTGATTATTTAAGTGTGGCTGTTGTGCAAATTGAAGTATCTCTGGTTTCTGAGACATGTTTAGATCCTATTGGACACACTCATAATTGTAAACAATCTTTATAAAGTTCTAGATTGTTTGCGGAGTACAGTAATTGCCTCAAGGTCACAAAGTTGAGACTTCTTGGAGGCCCATTTTCCAATGACATGTTACCTGTTTTAATAAACTGAGTTCTGCCATTTGGGTGGATTATTTTTGTCTGAGTATCAACTCAAATAGATTATAGTCCAAGTATTAAGTATTTATTAAAACTATTTAAATTTCCCATGTAAGTCTATGATGATTTCACTTGCTTATTTAGTGGATAACATTGAAAGTAGTTAGACTTCACTTTCGAATAAGCTACTCATGACCATGACCATATTTAGAAATGGAAGATATATGTTTTGATTATATTATATCTGGAACAATAAAACTTAAAAAAATTTCTGTATAATTAGGTCATTCATTTTATAAATAAAAAGAATGAAAGTTTAATAAAAGAATGTATATATTGTAATCCATTTAGCCATTTGGAACTGAAAGCTAGTTGGGAATTTAAGGATAATGTATTTTTGATCTTGTCTAACCACCACCCCCCACCCCACCTCTTTTTAAACAGTAAGATAAGATGCCTAACTGAGGTATAGATTTATTATTATAAAGCTGAGTGCACCTGATAAACAGATTAGTCAGCAGAGGTGCTATACAAAGATTGAGACTTTACAAAGAATGAGATTTGCATTGCAAGGGTTTATAACTTATTGCTAAATTTATAAATTGTTAAATTTAGTAATGTAATGTTGTTCCATACACTTATACTGAGCATTATCCATGCAAATTATTCTTCAAATTTGAAATTTCATTTGTGGACTTGTAATAATGGTTAATTAATTGAACAAATCTGTCTATAGTTTTATATCAGACTTACATTGGAATAGTATGTAACTGTTATAAGTATATTTCATCTAATACCATATTACTTATAATACTAAGCTGTAGGCTGATAGCACTTCCTGTTTTGAACTTCTTTTTCTCATTCTCTACCCTATTCAGGTACCTTTGTGCAAACCTTAACCCCTGCCTTTCTTTTTAAACCCACTGCTTCTATATTCTTTTTTTTCCCGGTAATTGGTCTTCAGGGTTGATTAGGGAATTAAAATATTTGATAAATATAAGGTAAATGTTTCCTCCTGATTCTTCTATTATTATTATTAAAGATTTTAAAACAATGGAAGGTTAAAACTAATTTTCTTTGATTTGCTTTTTTGATAGATGATTTGTCTTACTCCATACATAGTGCCTGGAACATATTACTTAACGTGCTCAACAAATGTTGGGAGTACTATTGACTTTTTATGGCCAGTACAATGAAGTAATTTTGATTCAGTTTGATTGATGCCAGATCTGTAAGGCTGTATTTTTATGTGGAATATATAGTTTTCCATGAAATGAAGAATATCATTTGTTTTGGAATCCATTTCATTATTTTCTTGTATTATAATTCTTTGTGTATGTAACACAAATAAGCCTCTAACTGAGGCACAATTTTGAATGTAGGGAACATAAGGATGAATGAGACAGAGATGATTCTGACCTTCATGGAGCTTATAGTTTTCCAGTGGAAGTAGATAGTAAACAGAATGATGATTTACTTAGTTACACTAGTATTACCAAGGAAAAATGGAGTGTGTAATGAGTATACACAATATGGGATCCATACCTTGTCTTTGGGGTATGTGGAAAAGTAACACGCCGAGACTTAGGGTTGAGGCAGCAGGGCATGTGAGGAGGGAAAGGGATGTGTGTGTGTGTATCTGTGTGTCAGAGGTAGAGGCAGACATTAGGAACAGCCCTGAGGCAGCAGGCTGTTTTGAATACATTAGAGGACTCTTAGCATATTTTAAAATCATGCTAATTTACAATTCTTTATATCTACTTATCTCTTTATATATTTTAATGAATTTGAAAAAACAAATAATTTTCTGAGGGCAATATATTTATGCCTTTAATGACAAGATCTCATTTCATTATATGGGAAAAATGCCATATCTTAAAACTATTTTTATGGATTGCTTGTCAGCCACAGAGTATAAGTTGGCAAAGAACTTCTGTTAGAGAAAATTGAAAGCATTTCATGATTTATGAATATTTTCTGGTCCAGTGAAACTTTTCCAGTAATTTAAATTCAAGTGTAAATTAATAGAGATGTTAGTTGTTTTCTACTGTCTGCTGTGTCACTGTTCAACCAATAAATAAGGAGTTGATGTTTTTAAACCCATTTTACAGGATTTACAAGCAATTGCAAATTTAAAGGCATGTTTAATTTGATAGTAGTGGTCTTGATTAGGAGGAGGATGAATCTAGGAGAGTTTTAAATTCTGAAGCTGAGGATTCTTTTTCCAGAATACTCTTTTGTTATTGACTACTGTATTTTCTATTTTCTTAATATAGTTATCAGGAAAATGGAATTGAACTTGACTTCTCATTTGTATGGCTATTTTAAGAATTGTTAAATTTAGTAATGTAATGATATTCCATACACTTACACTGAGCATTATCAATGTAAATTATTCTTCAAATAATTTAAAACATACATTCAAAGCAGAGTAAAATGCTATTATAATTAGAAGGGACCAAAAGACTTTCTTGACCACAGGAGTGATGAAGTGTTGGGATAAACTACAAGCAAAGTTGTGTAATCTCCATTCCTCACATAACATCTTAAGATTGGATCACCAGTTACAGAGTGCTGCCCTATTTTCTTAAACTTTTATACATA